GGGGGGTGGATAAAGCTGCATTCAGCATTCAGGTCACAGTTGCATCCCCAGATTGATTTGAGGGGACGAGCTGTTGCGTCCTGCGCCAAAAACACGCCGTCTGGCCGGGACTCGATGTTCTTCTGTCAGAACCAACCGGTGACTTTCTACAACCTGCTGCTCTCTTCTCCTTCAGGCCACGTCTCATCTTCTCGCTGGAAGGACCAATTGGCTTCTTATTTCATGTTTAATACGTCTGCAGATCTTTTTAAAAGCCCTGGGTGGAGATACTGGAGACGTTCATGTAGACGTGTGACCAACAACTAAATACATTCAGTCATCTGTACTTACTGCATTATAACAATATAACAGTACACTTTTCTGACCATATTTTGACAGAAGATTGTTTTGAAGATAGAGTGCCAATAATTCTGACAGAAAAGGATTTTTACTGTTGAAAACAGCCACATTAAATCCAGGTAACAGTAGGGTAGTATAAATAAAAGGTTAATCATCAGTTGTCTGTAAAATATGTTGCATATTTGGCCAATAATAATTTGCTACGATACTAAAAAGAGAAAAATAATTATTTCATTTGCCCATTAAGTTAGTCCGTCTCATGTCTTTATATCATTCCAATGTTAGAGGATAAAGCGATATTTACCGTCTAGTTTTACCTCCTGCAGCTATGAGCAGTGAACTCTGAGCTACCTCCAGCGTATTTATGAAGATACGTGCGGCTCCTCCTCCCTGTCAGGAGCTCATAGCGGTTGATGCAACCGTGTGTTTGGAGTCAGAGGAATGTTATTTCTGAAAAGTGCCACTTCTTTGTTTCTGGTACAATGAAAGCCTGTCAGGACAGTCATTTCAAAGAGATGCTCTTTGCATATCAAAGGCTTCTCGGAGGAGTTTTAAAGTGTCTTTTATGTTGTCGCTTGGCTCTGTGCGGAGCTGAACTTCTCCCTCGCCGGTGGTTTTTCTGTCCTCCGGGTCCTCGTCCTCCCATCCTGTTGGTCGAATTCAGTTTTCAGCATCACTGGATTGAGGACAAGGTGGAATATTAGGGTGTGTGTGTGTGTCTGTGTGTGTGTGTGTGTGTGTGTCAGTCAGACGGAGAGGAAGAGAAGTGAAATGTAGGAAAAGTTTATTTTTTTGTTCAGTTATGCAGGAGTGTGTGAAAACCTTAATTCACTGCGGTAAAATGTAAAAGATGCTAAAAGGTTCCTTAGCTTAGGTGATGATCATCACTTAGGGTGTAACACATTACACTTGTCTGTAATGCAGTAATGTAACATCTTACTGTCCTAAAATCAATAATTACATTACAGTTACGACAGTAACAATTATGTTACTTACGTTACAACAAGTTTTTCAATTGTTTTTTCCTTAAAAAGAACTTCTGGCCTGGTGCCACAATGCTGATCTGGAGTATTTTATTTAGATGGATACTGGATACTCTATGCCGTTTCTGTGTTCAACTTCCTGCCAATGTGATCTGCTCTGTGCTGCTTGACGCAAGTGGGTCACAGCCTCTGTAAAAAAATAGACCAGGAACACACAAACCAATCGGCGGATTCGTATAAATCTTTACACAAGTTTACTAAAAATAATCAATGTTACCGATCGCTACTCTCATGTTAAGACTGAAGATTGTTCTGAATGATAATGTGAGTCTTTTTGTTCAACAGTACAGGAGGCAGGATTACAGACATAAATACACAGTTACCTACATGGATCACTGACATGGACAATAGGAGCTTCCATTAACTGTAAGCGGCTGGGTGAAGATGTCCAATAAAGAGTAATGACAGATGATTCATCTTCTTTACAGGCGGCAGCACCAAACACCAGTAACCAGGGAACAGCTCTGTGCTGCCATAAAAGCAGTATCCGCTATCTGTGGCCTCCGCTATCTTCCAGTCATCCTGCTTTTTTTTCACTGTGAAGTATGCTGATAACTATTGATTGAATTACATCACATCCTGTCCATCACTGGGTTTATGGGAACTCTCAGGACTGGTTGCCATTATCAAGGCCAGATGATTTATCAGAAGGAAAGTCTTGGCCGACGAGCTCCAGTCCTGAAATCAGACTCCCAGCTCTGTGGAGGCTCTCCGTACCGGCTGAGTGGCTCTGTCTTTACCTCTTTCATGCTTCGCTGTGTGCCTGCTGGCTCCCATGATGCACAGCACTGTCACACTGCCTTCACCTCAAAGGAGGTTGTGTTTCCTCAGAAGACCCAGTTACTCAGTGTCTCTCCGCTGTGAAATCCAGGCCAGGAAGAAAATGGGTTTCATTTCCACATTTTTTTTTTTTTGGGTGTCTGCGTTGGCGCCGGGTTTCTGAGATGTTTGCTTTCCTGTGTGTGGAAGAAAATCCGCTAAATGTTTGAAGTGATGTAAGGTGGCTCAGCCGCACACAGCAGCTCAACACTGATTCACTCTGCCCCTGTTAGCCTTTTCACATATCCATAAGGAAGGCTAGTAACAACTTAATAAAGTAGGTAATGACATCATATTCACTCCAGCTCTCGAATCACATCCAGCTAGGATGTTAGGATAGGATAGGATAGCTGCAGCCCTAGCTGCAGCTTTAATATGCAGCCCTAGCTGCAGCTTTAATATGCAAGCAGCCAAACTTGGACCATCATTTATTAAATGAACATCATGCTGTGTTGAAAAGGACTTGAAACTGACGATTAAGATCAAAAACTCATCAGGAAACTGTTTACTGAGCTCATAAATCAACTGAGAAGTCGAAGTCCATAAGACTGAATGGTATCGGTTTCTATTACAGCCAATAGAGTTGCCTCCTGCTGGCCATTTCATAGAATGCAAGTTTAAGTCACTTCACAGACCCGGAAGCTCTGTCCGTTATATATACTGTACTGTCAATGGTTGAGGCTGATGGAAACTCAGACTTTAGTTGTTGTCATCAGTGCCACATGAGGAGATCAACAACCTCATTAGGATTCATCCATGAATATATGTACCAAGTTCCATGGCAATCTGTCCAGTAGTTGTCAAGATATTTCACTTTGCATCGCAGCGTCGATCCAGATCCTTTATCTGCCCCGAAGCGTGTTTGAGGTTTACGTAACCGGTTGCCTGCAATCCTTTGAAGATCACCGGCTCAAAACAAGTGATGTTGCAGTGAATT